GTTAGTCCTCTGTAATAGTTGGGACAGAAAATAACCCCTTGCACTGTTTGGTTCTGGAGAAAGGGTGGCAGCTGACTGGCCTTTAGATAACCTATGTGCATGAATGCCTCAAGACCCTCTGGACCCAGAGAAAAGGAGACTTTGACACTGAGGACACTCCACATTGAATTGCTCAAGGGCTGGTTAGGAACTGAGCACTTTGAGTTTTGTGTTTTCAGCTGAGAAGAAATTAAGAAATGCCATTAAAAAAAATCTGGTAGGTTGACAAGTTTGCATCTTGTATATCTAATAGTTTTGTTAAATCCATCTAGCAATCCTACCCCCAAGAGAAACAGCTACCTCTTTAAAAAGTTCTGTACTTTTAAGAAAGTGATCAAAGTTCAGGAAGGATCATTTCAATTATTTCCAGAAGGGTTAGAAAGATGACAAGAAACAGAGTATTGAAAATCATCATTAGAATTATTTATTAAGAACAGAAAGGCCAAAAATAGGGAACATAAGAGGGTTTTACACTGGTCAATGTTGTTTTTGTTGTAAACACAACTGCTCTCTTTTTTTGTGTGATGACAGGACTTTTTTTTTTAATATTTTAGTTTTTAGTTGTAGTTGGACACAACACGTTTATTTCACTTATTTATTTTTATGTGGTGCTGAGGATCCAACCCAGGGTCTTGCATGTGAGAGGCAAGCGATCTACCGCTGAGCCACAACCCCAGCCCATGATAGAACTTTTCTACAGAAATATTCTTTAGAAATTATTCAGTGTGAGGGGCTGGGGATGTAGCTCAGTGGGAGAGCACTTGCCTAGCATGTGTGAGCTCCACATAAAAATAAATAAACAAAATAGAGGTATTGTGTCCATCTACAGCTTGGAAAAAATATTCAGTGGGCAAAATATTATTGTACAGAACTTGCATTCTTCCTTCCTGGTTTCTTTCCAGATATCTTTGAAAAGAAATAACCAAATAGGATTGTTTTCTTTCTTTTGTCTTAACTTTGATTTGACTTTTCCTTGCAATTGATTTTCACTCTCAACACTTCAATGCACCCCAGGTGAGATTCTTCTGCCTAGCCCTGAACAGCCTTTGTGGGGTCTCGGGAGAGTGAGCCGGCGCTCGAGCCACACAGACGTGTTGTTGGTGGAATTGCTACTTGAGGAGAATTTGAGGGAAACTTCCTGATACCTTCCCTGAACTTGGTTTAGTAAAATGTGTCCCACCCTGTCACCTGGGCCCCCACGACTCTGTTTGCATCGGGAAACCAAAGGTTCAGTCAAACCCCACAGGTGATCCCCAGAAGGTACCAAGAGTGGAATTTTAAAAACTGTCCACAATGGTCCTCACTACTGACAGTTGCTGTGACAAGCCCTTCTGATAATGGATGCAACATCCTTCTGTGTCCTGGGAGGCAGATGTCCACATTGTCCCCCTCCACCAGCATGAAGAAGCAGGGGGCCTTGGGGACTCGGGGAACTTGCCCAGGACCACAATCAAGCATTGATGAGCTAGGAGGGATCTGAGCCCAGGTTTGAACAGCCCTACACACATACACACACACACACCCCCACACCCCAGGGGACAGAATGTGGTGGAGCCCACCAACCCCTAACCCATGTGGTGACTCTGAGGGTGCCATGGTTGACGGAGTGGGCAGGAGCTATTGGATATGGAAAATGAAAAACCCCCAAATAATGAGGCCTGGGAAAAGGGAATGAAAAAGCCAGACTTTCTCAAGGTAAATCTCTTTCAGATGCTGGCCGCAGGCAGGGGAAAAAATGTGTCATCAATCCTAAAATGGTAGTCTCTAGGGAGCACTAATCTCTTCCAAGATAATGCCTCTCCAGGTGCTGGCCACTGACCCCCCAGCCCCAAACTCAAATTCCTCAGTGCCCAGACTGACATGCTCACTAAATCACCCACAACCTATATAAGCCCAGTCCCCTCCTTTGTTCAGTGGCTCATTTTCCACCAGGAAAGTGGGTCTGTTCCCATAGGTGTGGTCCCGATCCTGAGTAAAGGCTGAAATGATCTATGAAGTGTGCATCCGGTAAGCCCTTCTGTTTGTGCTAATGTTCTGCTGAATGAACTATGATTTGGTGGCACTAGGACTGTTCCAACAATGATTATCACCAAATATAAATTAGGATGTACTTTAATAAATACAATAGTGGGTTACTATCCCTTAAAATATGGAATGCTCAATTAAATTGAGGAGAAAAATTTTGGGCCGCTAGTGGATGAATGGGTGGAGACATGGTGGGTAACTTATAATTACACTGAGTCACACAGACACAAATGTTAATGTCTAGCCCATAAACGTAAGAAATGTTCAGAGTCACTAATAATCAAAAATAATAAATTGAAGTCACAGGCTATAATTTTAGCCTATACAAACAGCATAGCCTAGAACCAATACAATTGCAACTTTTTCTGTATTCTTTTTCTTTTCTCTCTGGGGGTTGTGGTGCTGGAGGTTGAATCCAAGACCTCATGCATGCTAGGCAAGTGCTCTATGACTGAGCCACACCTCCAGCCAGTGTGACTTTTCCAACTAGCGGGAGTGGTAAGAAGGGCACACACAGATGCTGCCAAGAGGAGAAAGGCCTGTTTTTACCCTTCTGGAAAAGTCAACAGCTTCACACCCTTGCTCTGTCCTGCAATGGAGGGTGATCTACTGGGGCTCATTTTCTATGCTGAAAAGAGAACTCTCACCCCCTTTTGCCCTTTTGCCTTTTGTGGATGTCACAGAGAGGGTGTCTTCACCAAGAATCCCAACTGTAAATGCAGCCGTGCACCCTCTGGATCCCTTTCTCATCAAAGAAGCAGTTGTGAGGAGTAATAGCTATACATCATCCTCAGAAGGAAAAGATGCATCCCCAGACACTCCAGAGGCCCTGTCAGAGCTGGGTCCTCAGAAAGCATCGCTTCCTTCTCTTGGCAGTTGCCTGCCTTTACAAAATCGCCCTTTGATGGGATGTATTTGGCTTACCCTGAGAAGTGTACATTAGAAACCTTCCTACTGCACTTACGAATGGGATGTCGTTGAGGACACCTCACCCCACGACCTCCCAGAAAGAATCAGGAAACAGTGTACGTCTGAATACCTATGAAACCAGAAGCTTGACACTTATTGCTAAACTTTTTTTTTTCTCTTTGCTTTGACTTCCAGAAAACTCAGAAACAAATGTATGACTTACCTTTAGCAATTGCACCAGCCCTCATGGGAAGTGTCTGAGCTTTCCAATATGGCTTTTCTTTCCTTACTATATTTACCCTGTTCCAACCATCTGTAGTTATTATTTCAACCTCTAGTATTTACTTTGTTTTGGTGAACCACATCAATGATGGAAATATAAATAAATATAAGTTAAAAATATCAAAAGAAACATTCAAAAGCTCCTGTTAGATGTCAAGGAGGCCTTCTGAAAAAGTCTGGAAACCACAGGTCAGTTCTGAGAGCTTTTCACTGAGACTCTGTCCTTGTTCTCACACTGATTCTGTGTCACTTTTAGAGCAAATATTTGATTTCATGTTCTGTATTACTGGGAGACCTGAGAAACCTGGGCATCTCCCAGTGTAGACTTGATCTCTGTTATTGTTTATTTAAATAGGAGAGTCCATCCATAAAATATCTTTAGTTCCTTATAGGAAAGGTTTATGTCAGCTATTATTATATTATTTTACATTTATATATTTGTTTATGGACCAGATATTTCTTGAGCGCCTGCTGTGTGTGGCACAGTTTGTGATCCTGGGGAAGATGCATAATAACTCTGTAGGAGTCTGGTCCCTTCAGCTCTCAGGCTGGGAGACCCTGAGGCCAGGGCTGTGACTTACCCACTGAGCAGTCTCAGGCAACTAAGAGGCCTTCAGTTAATGTTTGGTTAAATAAATAACTGATGAATGTAAAATTCTTCCCCAAGCCTTGCTTTTCAATTTTTTATTTTTTATTTGACAAATAATTTTTTGTATTTGTGGGATACAATGTGATGTGATCTATGTATGCATTATGCAGTGAAGAGGACAAGCTAATTAACATATCACCACCCTGCAGACTTTATAATTTTGTGTGGTGTTTTGTTTCGTTTTTGTATTTAAAGGTTACCCTTTTAGCAATTTCCTTGGTGGGGGGTGGGTGTTGTCATTGTTTTTGTTACTAGAAATTGAACCCAGGGCCTCGATCATGCTGAACAAGTGTTCCACCACTGAGCTACATCCACACTTTTAGCGATTTTGAAATATACAATACATTATTATTAACTATTAACTCCAGTCACCATGCTGTGCAGTAGGTCCTGAAAGTTTATTCCTCTTAACTGAAATTTTGTACCCTGCGGTTGCCACCACCCAGCCTCTGGTAGTCCCCATTGTGCTCAATTTGATTGAGCATTCCATATTTTAATCATTCCACTATTGTATTTATTAAAAGTACATCCTAATTTATATCTGGTGATAATCATTTGTTGGAACTGTCCTAGTGCCACCAAATCATAGTCCATTCAGCAAAATCCGAAGGTAAGTGGAATTAAATTTAAGAATTTGTTACATGATGATCAGGTTGGACTGCAAGATAATTCCAGTAAGAAAATGGCTGGATGAGCAAAATTTATAAATAGTCTTGGAAAGTGCTGGGGCTTGGCTTAAAATAGTGAAGTCCATCCAGAGGGCCTTGGGACCACAGTGAAATGTTTGCTTTGTAATAAAAAAAGAAAACACCTCATTCCAAAAAGAGTTGGCAGCATCTCAAGTCGGGTACTCAGAACTGAATTGAGAAATGAGGGATGGTGGGCTGAAGAGATGGTGTAATAGCCATGCGCTGAAATTCTCTAGAAAAATACATGGTTTTGTTTTGTACACATTTTGCAAAGAAAGTATTCTTCCATCTGTTGTATTTTATGGATGTATCTATACCACAGATTAAGGGAAGGAAGGGAGGGAGGGAGGGAGGGAGGGAGGGAGGGAGGGAGGGAGGGAGACAAAAGTGAAAATTTCCATGTTCAAGCAAAGCTTCAGTGATTCTTTTTGAAATTCCCTTGCTTTTTATTTTATTTTTTAAATTTTCATAGTACTGAGGGTTGCACCCAGGGCTTCACACATGCTAGGCAAGTGCTCTACCAGTAAACTACATCCCTAGCCACTTTTAGTTTTATTTTGAGGCAAAGACTTGCTACATTGTCCAGATGATAGGCATGCGCCACCAAGCCCGGCAGTTCCTGCTCACTATTACAAGACGACGTTCTTAAAGGACTTATGGGATAGCTCTCCTATCCCCCAACGCATCTCAGGATGAATTCTTTTTTTTTTTTTTTTTCTTTTTGTGGTGTTGGGGATTGAACCCGGATGAATTCTTAATATGTAAATAATAGGGACACTTCTATAGGACAGGCTGATAGTCCCTTGTAAGTATTCATAGTCATCTTTGCGTCTCCAACAATTCACATTCCTTTCTAAGAAGAAAACGTTTCCCTCTGACTAATCAGGAGCACAAGGTTTGAAAAGAGGACCTAAGGGAGAGACAGTGGGGAGTGGTGTTGAAGACATTAGTGCAAACAGCTTAAGATATCACCTCTCAAAGACAGTCCTGGGTATCATGGGTGCAAGGCAGGGCTTGGGGTCGGGCTCTGCGGGTCCCGTTCCAGCTGGGCCTTCCATGCTCCGTAACTTTACTAAACCTCTGGGAGCCCCACTTCCTTCACCTTTCATGGCCGAGTAACAGTGTTGAGTCCTAAGGTTGTTAAGAGATGAACTGAGACAATGTGTGTAAAACGTGGGGCTTGGTGCCTGGAAGAGAGTAAGTGTCCTAAAAGGTTAGCTGTCACGAAGCCACAGGGGCCAGGTGGATGGTGGGACTGCATGTCTTGTTGCTATTACTAATTCCCAGGAGGAACAAAGGAACTGATTTTTATCTTAGGTGAGCTGCAGGTGGGAAAGCAGAGAGGTGTTTTCAGAACATGTTACCTTTTCCCATGGAGATAGCTTCCAACCCTCAAGAGTGTCCTAAGGACCTCGAGGTCGGAGAGGAAGGGGCAGCGTTCCCACCTGAAGTTGGCTCTGGCTTTTCCTCAAAGACCTTCAGCAGCGCTTCTTTCAGGGACTTTCTACTTTTCTTTCTCCTAAGACCTCCCACCACGAAATAGACAATTGGATTCACACTGCAATTGATGGTGGACAGCAGGTTCAGATAGGGGAAGAACTTCCACACAGACTCGTCGCTGGGGTTGGAGTAGTAGACGATGATGAACAGGACCTTCATGGGCATGGCGAAGACCAGGAACAAGACCACGGTGGCCGTGACGATCACATAGAGCTTGGCCGGTTGACGGGACTTGAGGTGGCAGCAGACCTGGACGGAGAGGATCAAGTTGGAGAAGATCATGAGAGGAACGAAGACAAGGAAGGTCAAGACCCAGGAGAAGGCGTACACGTATCGGCACTCTGGGAATCTCGGCTCCGCTGCCAGAAGGCAGAAGAAGTTTTCCAACCCCGATACCAGCACCGAAAGAGCCCACAGCAGTGCGCAGGCCACGGCCGACTGGTGCCTCGGGCGGCGGCACTGGTACCAGATTGGGTAAAGCACCGAGAGGCAGCGCTCCACGCTGATGGCAGTGAGCAAATGCAGACCCGTGTTGTAGCCGAAGATCATGAGGAGGAGGACGTAGCTCAGCAAGGTGTCATCGTGCAGGTGGAGGCTGTCCACCAGCTGGAAGATGGAGGAGCAGAGAAGGACCATGAAGTCGGCAATGGCCAGATGCAGAATGTAGACAGTGAACGGCTTCCTCTTGACGCAGAAGATGAGAAACAGTATCAAGAGTCCGTTCCCAGTGACTCCGGGGACACAGATGAGCAGGGAAAAGTAGACATGGCCGTGCTCTCTTTCGGCCTCTGACAGGGGCTCCCTCACCTGCTCTGATGACCAGGTTGTTCCATCCAGGGAGTCGTTTCTGGGATACAGTGTGGATTCCGAAGGATTCAGGGTCACTGTCCATGGCTCCATTCTTGGGGATCACTGGTTTCCTCCTGCACACCTGTGGTCAGAAATGGAAGATGGAGCTGATGGTGTCATTTGCTGTGCATCCCACAGTGAGTTGGTTTTTGATCCTCCCTCACAGTGGTGTGGGAGGATGTGTGCTGCTGTGTTTCCCATCTTCTTCCCCTATTCCTCTCCCCTTCTGTTCTCTGCCCAGGCAGATTCCACTGTGATCTCCGGGTTTCCTCCACTGAACCCAAGACTGGGCTTCTAACCTCACCTCCAGCCATTGCCTCCAACCAGGATTCTTTCTCTCTGGCCCTGTGGAAAAACCCACTGTGTTCCTAATTTGTCCCCTGCCTTCCTGAAAGAGATTTCTAAGGGTTCTTACCAAAAATAGAGGACAGAGCTAGGAGAAAGGATCCAAAATAAAAAAGGATAAAAAACATACCAATGATCAAAAGCCCATGCAAAAAGAAGTAAGCGCTCATGGTTGTGTCTAGAAACTTCTGCCCCATCTCTCTCTTGAGATACTCTTCCTTTCCCATGCCTTGGCTTTTGTTTATAATATCCACATAACCCCCCAACAGTTTCTATGCACCAGTAAACACAATTAACAGCTGTTTGTGTCTTTCTCTCCTGTACATTGGGGGTCATCCTCTTGGGCTTAGCTGACAGGACGATCCAGCTGCCAATAGGAGAGACAGGAGGAGAGGGAGGGAGCAAGAAAAGAGGGTCGCTCTGTTGAACTGGGGTTCAGGGGACAAGGGCTACCTAGGGTGGGCGGGCATGCAGGATTGTGGGGTCAGGGCCCAGGACTGCCTGGTCCACACTTCTCTGTCCTTACCTGGTGTCCTGGTTGCCTGAGGATTCCCTGACCCCAACCCACTGAGACATGGGTAGGAACAGGATTCAGGGAAGGGCTTACAGGGCTTTCTAGATTGTTTCTCTGTGAACTCTTGACCGCAAAGGATAAGCCGTCTCATCTTGACAGATGGGACTGTGTTAAGAGTCACTTGTCAGTCTTCCTTGGAAACTTGGAACACATTTTCTAAGACTTGGCTGGATGTCCAGGACAGCCAGTGAACCTTAGCTATAACCAATTGAGATACTATGAAACATGTATTTGGTCTTTTCTCTTTTCCCAGCATACACTCCTGAAATCCTTGGAATCTCCAAAGTAGTGTGTCTTTTGCATGCTAATGAAGTGGCTGGTGGCTGGCAGCTTCAGGATATGGCTGGTCACTGAAAGACCAAGGCAGGATGAGAGGATTGGGACTTTTAGCACCATCCTGCAACCTGCAGGGGGGAAAGAGGGGTTGAAGGTTATTGATCATCAATGACCAATGATGTCACCAATCATGCCAAGGTAATGCACCTCCATAAAACATGGGAAGGCAGGTCCACAGAGCTTCAGATTGCAGAACACACGGAGTTTCCCAGAGAGAGTATGGAAGTCTGTGTCCCTCTAGACCTCACCTCATATACCTCTCCATCTGCATCCTTTGTAACACCCTTTAAAATAAACCACTAAATGTAAATGTTCCCCTGAGTTCTGTGAGCCACTTGAGCAAAGTAATAGAACCCAACGAAGGTTCAATCGCAGGAACCCTGGTTTATATTGTGAGACAGAAGCACAGGCAAAACTTCCTGGGGCTTGGGACTGGCATCTGAAGATGGGGAGCAGTGTTGGGCACCAGTCCTCAGCTGGTGCCATCTGACACTGTCTCCAGGTGGATGCTAGAATTGGAGAACTGACTAGAATTGGAGGACACCTGGGAGGTGTCTGTGGCTGCAGAACCAATGGCTTGCTTGCTGGTAGGGAGAATCCCCAGTCCTCTTGGGGTCCCAGAAGCCTTCTGTGCGGCTTGCTGTAAGTACTGAAGGAAAGTGGTTTGCTCTCCCCATTCATAGCTGTGCAAGGGGTAAACAGCCTCAGCCAGGACCTGCCCCCCTCTGGCCTCCTCCCACCCTGGGCTGGCTTCACTTGTGCCCCTTCTTGTCTCAGACCCAGTAGTAGCTCTGGGGTTTCCCTCTCCACCACCACCAACCACAGTGGCTGGTGAGAATGTCCTTCTACCCCTGCCTTCCCCGGCTCCTCTTCTCCCCAAGCAGCCACAGGGCCCCAGGGCATTCCTGTGGCTTACCCTTGTAAGGCTTCATGGGAAGAGAACGGGCAGGAGAGCCAATTATTGGAAGTCTCAGAAGCACACTGTCCCTCCTGTCTCAGGCAGTCTGTGGCTTGGCCCTTCTCTGAGTCTTTCCTGCTCCTTTTCTACAATCTACATCTTCCCCTCTTACTCTGGCCAACCCAATCCACCCTGGAAGAGGAGCCTCTGCTTCAACTTCTTTTGCATTTTCCTGAATGCTAAAAATAATAACTATTTATTTCACAAATTTTGCAAAAAGAAGAAAAAAAATCAATTTTCCCATTTCACCACCCAAAGATAAATTCTTTTATTTTTAATCAACACATAGTAACTATACATGTTTATGGGGTATGCTGTGATTTTTCTATACACACTTAATGTATACAATGTGTAATGATCAGGTAAGGGTCATTGGTTTATCTGTCATCTCAGATATTTATCATTTCTTTGTGTTGAGATTCAAATTCCTACCTATTGTTTTTGCGACTGGGGATTGAACCCTGGGGCACTTAACTACTGAGCCACACATCACCAGCCCTTTTTATTTATTTTGAGACAGAGTCTCACTGCATTGCTTACAGCCTTACTAAGTTGCTGAGGCTGGCTTCAAACCTGTGATCCTCCTGCCTCAGCTTCCTGAGCTGTTGGGATTATAGGCGTGTGCCACCATGCCCAGCTCTCTCTACCTATTTTAAAATATTAAATTATTCATTGTCAACCCAAAGATAACTTCCGTTAATTTGTTCATGTCTTGGAAACTATAGTCTATGTAGTTTTACACCTGCCTTTTTAACTTAATATCATATCATCAACATTTTGTTTCTATTAAAATTTCTTCAGAAATATGACTGCTGATGAATGACTACATAATGATATTTAATCTTTTGTTTATTATTTTTAAAATAATTCCCCTATTAGAAAACATCTGCAGTTAATAAGCCTCCATAATTTCAGTAGAGGGTGTACCCTTGTATATCTGTCTTTCTTGTATCTCTGATCGCTTCCTTGGGACAGATGATTACAAGAACAATTACTCATATGGGATTTTAAGGCTCTGAGACAGAAAAACATAGTGGTCATGACCATGGGCTTTGGGATCAGAGATTTGGGTTTGACATGCACCTCCAGGTTACTAATTATCTGACCTCAGGCAAATTGTTGGTCTCTTCAAATCTCTGTTTCCCTGTCTATACAATGGAGATAATGGTGGTACATCCCATGAGTGTTGAGAAGACTGATAATCTCATTCTTTAGAGAGCTCCTACGCTATGTCCCGAACCAGAGCAAATGTTGAATGCATGTCAGTCCCCACTCTGACCATTTTCAAAATAATTTGTTTCCAGAAGCTGCTCAAGAGGGAGCTTGCACAATTTAACCTTTCCTAAAACAAGGCATCTTCCTAAAACAATACAAAATGGAGAAGGAAAAATTGACATCTAAATGTTTTGATTGGCATGCCTAATGATTAGTGAGGTGTACGTTTTCATAAACCTGTTATTAATATTTTTTGTTTCTTCCTGGGTATGTCGCTCTGTGTTTCCATTTTTCTTCTCAGGTGGGGGCCGGTGTTCTCAATGACCTGTAAGAATGCACCAGCTCTTTTGTGCTCTTCCTCCTCTCCACCGGAAGCTCAGGCCCTCGGGCCAGCAGCTTGGCCTCAGAGCTGGTCCCCAAAAGGGGTGAACGTTGATCTTTCCTCACCCAAGCTCAATTCTCTTTCCTTCTTTCCCGTCCACTAAGTCAGCAGCCACAAGGACCCTGCCAGGGGCCCAGGGCAAAAGGAGAGCAGGAAGGGAAGGAAGACCTTACAGGGGTATTTTCCCACCAGGCCAGTATCCCTGAGGGAGCTCCGAGCAACAGTCTGCCCAGGGCCAGGCCAGGCCGGGTCTGGAGGCCCTGCAGCCCTGTGTGGTGGCCAGCACTGCTTACAGCGCGCCTAGAAAGAAATATGAACAAATAAGGGAACGGTGCTCTCTGCATAACACGGCCCACACTGACTTTCTGCCTGGACTCAGTGCATTAGAAAACAAAAGTGTCCTTCCTCGAACTTTATGTCTTATTATTCTTAGTGGTGGGAGTGAGCCTGGATTTAAAAGAAAAATAGAGTAAGAGAGTAGAAATAAACCAAGTAAAATTATGCTTTACATGTGTTAGGTGTTTTTATTGTTTTTTTCATGTGCTTGTCAGAGGAGTCCTTCGAGGTCAGGGTCATCCCCATTCAATATGGGCATTGAGGACTTCGGGCTCCAGTGACCTGCCCCAGCTCTGCAACCTGCTGTCATAGCCTCTCCTGGATGTAGGGGTTTTCTGATTTCACTTCTGCCCCCTGTGTTCCATGCACCCCATTCTCCCATCTACATCATCCCTAACTGTCCCTAGAGATTCTGGTGCACAGAGGGGTGGGAGGGCCAGCAGGTAGGAGCAGTTCCAAGGAGAAGCCCAGTTCATCCTGGAAGTGGGGTAGAGTTTGCAAAATCTTCCATGAAGATTCCAGTGTGTTCTTGTGGTCACAGGGGGGCAGTCACCTTCTTTGCAAAATCACCCCCATTTCTGCTTTTGACCATGTTGTCTGAAACATGTTATTTATTGGCTTTTCCAGTGTTTACTTTCAGCCTCTCTTGGAGACTATAGCATTCAGGCAATGCAAGCAGCTCATATTTGTGTGACAATGTTACAGTGAATAATTTTACAATGAGTATGCGGTACTAGAGCAGTACCACATTTTACTATTGGTTCTGTTTAAGTTTTCCAAATGATACCAACACTCTGTGTGTGTAGACCCAGTACTCTGCACACCACACACACACACACACACACACACACACGTGAGCATACCTACACATGCACAGGACAGGAGGGGACATCCATGAAATGACAGGAGCATTTAGGGGAACAGTTAGGTTTTATAGATATTCTTAGGGGACACTCTGTGGTTGCAGCCAGAACAGAATGCTTCTGCTTTAGAACTCAGCAGGCAGAAGGTCAGGGCCCCATGAAGTAGCCCTGGAATTTGGGATTCCCTTAGTGTGGGCTCTCTCCTCCCACCCAGTACATCCCCTTGCTGAGGACTGGGGAGGAAGAGCCCTCCCTACAAACCTGAGCCGCTGTGATCTTTCTGCAGGGAGTGAGTGGGAGTACTCACCGGCCAGGGATTTGGGGTTTTGTTGTGCGGAGCTACTTTGGTGATCCCTAGTTCTTCCCTAGGGCCTGTTATTTCTGCAGATCCTTGTCCAGCAGACAAGATTCTTGAAGACTGGAAGACCGCAGTTCAGTCTGGCAGCAGTCTGTTCTCAGGGTCTTATTTTGGCTTCAGATCTGGCCTGAAGTCCTGTTGGCCACGCTGGAGGACAGAGGGTGGAGCCAACCCTCCTCTGAGTCCTGTCAATCAATTAGATAGAGACTTAACTCACCAGTCAGGGCAGTTCTCCTCAAGTCCCAGCCAATCAGAAAACGCCCCATTCTGCTCCCCGACAGTGAGCCCAAGACATTTCTTGTGTTCAGATTTTACTCTTTTTAAACGCGTGTTGTTCTGCACACCTGGCACTGCGGGCTCGGAAAGCCTTTGTGTTCCCCAACATCTCCACACCAAGGACAACCTTGGGGCACCATGCTCCTGGCCCACCAGCTGTGGCAGGTGCGTGGGTCGGCGAGGCCCACAGCAACCAAGGCACATCCCACCCAGATCCTCACCACCCCACCTCTCTGTGGGTGGTAATGACCAAAGGGCGTGGGGTGTGGGTTGCAGAGTGGGAGGGGACATTCCTGGGGGATTGTCTTTGCTGGTGACTGGAGAAGAGGCGCTGTCAACCCTGCTGCTCCCCACCTGTTCTTTCTTGGGGTTGCAGGGCTCACCTGTGATCATGAGATACCAAGGAAGGGGTTGAAAGGAGGCCTTGCAGAAGAAACTGGATTCTGACAGGACAGCTCCGGCAAGGCTGGTGCCACCAGCTCCGGTGGCCATGTGGAGCCAGGTTTTGATGGTGTCACTGTGGTCAGCTCTGTTCCTTGTCCCTGAAAAACCACACCAGGCAGGTGATTATTTTCGACATATTTTTAAAAATCAATCAGTAGGGGCAGAAGACAAGCTCCCTGCTGTGAGTGATCCCCTTTGTGATTCCCCTTTGTGATCCCCTCCCCTTGAGTGTGGGGAGAACTTGTGGCTTGCTTTTAATTAATTGAAAACGGTCTAGCTGAGAGAACCCTGTTCTAAGAGTCCTCGGGATTTGCTTTAATCACCTACGTAACATGGAGACATGAAGATGATTGTCATAAAGGAAGAAGCACGAGGCAGGCATGGCTCTCGGGTCCCACAGGGAAGCACTGGAGTTGGAGAAGAGGCAGAGGGAGAGGGGGACTGTGGGTAACAGGCTTTACTGTGGTTTCCTGGAAAGAACTCAGGTGCCTGGCCCTGGGGTGGTTAGGGCAGGTGGATAGAGGCCCAGAGTGTGAGAGCCCTGTAGAGGCCTTGGTGGTGGGAGGACAGACTCCCATTAGTGAGTTTTTTTTTTTTTTTTATCTTCTGCAAGACAAACTCTCTATCAAGTTCACCGTCTCCAGAAATGCTAGCCCAGGGAGGGGTTGTTACATGGCCAGCAAGATCCAGGGAGTCAAGCACAGAAGACAGACCCCGAAGACAGGGCTAGGGCAGAGCTGCTGGCGAGGTTACACTGGGCTGCACCATGGTCTAGGCTCTGGGGAGTGGGGCTCCTGCTCTGGGGACTGCCCACAGGGAGGGCTGCATGGTAGGGAGCTGCAGGCAGCCTCCAGGACCCAGAGCCTCAGTCCTGCTCTCCCAAGGCTCTGAATCAGAGGATCCCCCTCCTGCGTCTATACCTCAGACACAGTCCACACCTTGACCCCTACCGGTTGAGACCCTGAGCCGAGCTGAGGATCCAAGCTCAGGATGCATCACCCACAAAACTGACATGATAAATTAGTGTTGTTTTAAGCCACTATATTTGGAAAACAGCAAGAGAAAATGGATCACTATGGGAATATAGTTAGAAATTAGAGTCTTAAAAGGCTTATATTTTGCAAAGAGATCCTATTCCTATCACTTCCTGTTCTACTTTTAAAATAACAGCTATTTTGAATTTTTCAGGAGATTTCTTCTGGACTCATCCCTTCATTTAAAAACAATGGGTGTGCTCTGCCCTTCTTGCTCAAACATTGATTTCTTCCAGTTTGGGTTCTGCTTCATCTCACCACTTCCTCTCCAGCCCCGACCCTCTCAGAGTAATTAAATCTAGTTTTTAGTCAAGTTCCTTTTTCTTGTAATTCAGTTGCCTTCCCTAAACCTCAGAAGGTTCCAAGACCCCAAGAGGATGCCTAAAAAAGCAGGTAGAATTGAGCCCTATGTATACTGTTTTCCCTATACATGCAGACCTATGATAATGCTTGATTCATAAAGGAGGCACAGAGATCAGCAACAATAAGTCTTAATAAAATGGAACAATTATAGCAATATGTTATGATAAAATTTATGTGAGTGTGGTCTTTCTTTCAACATATCTTAAATGGCCAGATGTGGTTGCCTTCGCCTGTAACCCCAGCTACTTGGGAAGCTGAGGCAGGAAGGTCAGTGCAAGTTCAAGGCCAGCCTGAGCATCCCTGTCTCAAGGTTGTAAAAAAGGGGCAGAATGCTCCTGGGTTCAATTCCTAGTACCACAAAATATACGTGCTATATTTTATCAGGGCAGACAGCTGGACAAGGAAGATTCAGGGAAGGAGCAGGATGGTGTGAGATTTCTTCATGGTGCTCAGAATTGCGGGACGTAAAACTTATGAGGACTGGGGTCATAGCTCAGTATAGAGCAGGTGCCTCGAATGCTCGAGGCCCTGGGTTCCATCCCCAGCACAAAACAAACAAACAAATAAATGAAGGAAGCAGGAATTATTTCTATAATTTTCCATTTAGTGCTTTGGACTGCAGTTGACTGTAGTTAATTGAAACCCCAGAAAGTGAACCTTGGATGAGGAATGGGTGGGGACAGCTGTCATAGAAATATTCTCCACTGAAGGTTCCAAAGGGGGACTGCGGCTTCATATTTTCTCGAAGAGTGAATTCTTATTTTTCACCAGAGTGAAACAGGGCCTCACATTTTAACGTTCACATTTTTCTATCTATTCTTATCTTTTCCTCACATCGTCCTTGTTTTTTCCACTCCGTGTGTCATGTGCCTTAAAATATGTTGTAAATATGCAAATGTTCTGAGCTATCTGCCTGGGTTTTCTGGGAGCTCTCGCCCTCTGCAGTCAGGCCTTGCTCCCAGCCAGCTGGGCACCCTGGCCTTCCTTGGTCACTTTTCTGTGTTAGGGACCCTCTGGTTTATTTTTCCTATAGGCCATCCCAAGGGGCTTCCAAAGACAGGGTGTAAGGGAGGTGAATTTTGTATGGAACAGAGAGACATGAGCAGTGGGAACATGAAATCACTGGAACACTTTTATAAAATGGGCCCCCTGTGCAGACCCCCACAAGCTTTCTCTTAGGAAGCAATTCACCTGCAGCCCTGCCTGCTTTAAGTAGACAGAATATGTCACATTCCTTAGAAAACAACTTGTTACCTTCAGAGGAAATGCAGGCTTGAAATTCTGACAAAAAAAATTTACCCTGAAAGTGTCGGGGGATTTTTGTGACAAGATTGCAGAACTCAGGGAGATAAGGATAATTTCCCTTAACTATAAAATCTGTAAAAGCAGGTCCCAATTAGAACTGATCAGCACGAGCCAAAGTGACCTAGGGCTGTCATGGCAGTGGGGACTTGAAAGTCTGATGTCATCCTGCTGTCAGTCAAAAGTCAAGAAGTGGGCCTGGGCAGGACTCTGGAAGTTTCCTGAGACCCCTCAATAAAACAGAGGGCAGGAGAGGCTTGCCGACCCTCACTCCTCTGAGAGGGTCCGCTTTCTTCCTTTCCCCTTCCCTGTCCCTTCTAACAAACTCATGCCTGCTGCCCTGAGCAACATGCCTGCTCTCTTTCTAGTCCAATCACAAGAATCAGGGTTTCAAGGGCGGGAGGGTCTGTCTGTGCTGCCTCAGTTTCTGGCAAGGCCTAATGCTCTCTAACAAGTTCTAGAAAACTTTTTATTATGGGAAATTTCCAACATATGCCAAAGTAGAGAAAAGAGTGTTGCAGGTGCCGATGCCCCTTTTACCAAATTTCAGCAATTAACACAAGGCCACTAGGGCTTCAGCTTGAACCCTGCCCACTGGGTATTTTAAGGCAATTCCCAGGTATCACATAACTTCATCTGTAAATATTTCATTACACAATTATAAAACAGAAAGGCAAAACCAAAACACAAAAACATCCTAACCACACTACCTTTACCATACCTGAGCAAATAGCAGTGTTCTCTAAAGTCATTAAGTATCCACTTGGTGTTATAATATATAAAATACAGCTGCTTGTTGGAGTCAACATCCAGATAAGATTCAATTATGATTCTACATGTCTCTTAAGCCTCCTTTAGTCTCTAGGTGTCCCCCTGCCCACCTGCCATGCACACACACCTTTTTTTTTTCTCTTGCAATCTTTGTTGAAAAAACAAAGATTGTTTCATGGAGGGTTCTGAATTCTGGACCTTTGGCCCACATCTCCAGTGAGCTCAGCCACCACCCTGTCTCCATGTGTGAGAACCTCAGTTTGTTTCACATCCAGTCTCTCTGGGGGATTATTTCCTGAGTGTGCACTTCCAGCCACTGTGGTGCTGTGGGCCATTGATGGTGATCACCTGGATCAGATGGCGGTGGTCCTCCTTCAGCCCCGCCACCAAGGGACTCTTGGCAACTTCTGGAGACATCTTTGATCACGGTGCCCAGGGAGGGTGGGTGCTCCTGGCACCCAGTGGGAAGAGCCGAGGATGCTGCTGAACACCTGGGAGGCACAGGGTGGTCTCCCCCGACTCCCACCTACAGTTTTCTGGCCAACCTTGCCAGTGATGCAGAGGTCTAATGTCCTACGTCTCCCATTCCTTCCTCACTTATTAGCTGGAACAAGTTCAGTGTTTTGCCAGACTTACTTCCTCTATGCCTTCTCTTTCATTTTTTTTTTTGTTATTGTTGAAAAACTTAGAAGCAAATCCCACACGTCGTGTCGTTTCTCTCCTACACTCTCAAAAATATTTGGCATCCTCTTACATGATCATAATGCCATTGTCACAATCAGAACTAGCAGTGCTCTTGGTCCTTCTCCGCTCCCTATTCAAATTTACCTCACTATCTCAAATATGCCACTCACCCCCTTTTCTTTTTCCATATCAAGATCCAAACAGTCCCCATTAT